GTGATGAGTTTTTACATTCCATTGCACACTATGTTGTTCAAAACATGCAGCATATGAAACAGATGGCTTGGGAAGACTGTCAAAAAAACCTGCTGGGCCTTCTCTGGTATTACCTTAAAGCAAAAGGGAGGATGAGTAAGTGTGCTGTAATTTTTGGCTTTAACACAGTGTTCAGGAAGCTCAGTGTCTGAAGGCAAGCTTACTCAATCACAGTAACACATATAAAAACAGATACCTATTTGAGGGTAATAGAGCAATAAAATTATTGGAAATTGTGGGGATGAAAGGAAGAATTGAAAATTGAAGTGGGAAAGGGGGCAGACCTTTTTCAAGATGCTTATCACAGGACTAAGCAATGCAGGAAAATAAATTTAACCAGGACTTTCACATGACATCTTTAAATATTCTTGTGTACAATATAGTAGAAGATAAGTCTTGCAACCTCTAATTTAATTGTTTTAAATTATGATTTCAGAGATCTCCTTGTGAAATTAACAGTTGTGCCTCCAAGACCTGCTTGGTTATGGTTTCAAAATTTCTAAGCATGTAGAATCTTCTAACCAAGGGCAAGCAATGTATTTTGTACTAGAGGCATGAAAATCAGACCCTACTGTATGAATATAGGTCTGCAAGACAGTGTCTTTTCAGGAGACATTTCATGTACTGGTAGTATTATAAGTAGTAAGACATCCAAATTCCTCATATTTATGTGCACAATAAATTTTTAGAAGTAGCTCTTTCATTTTGTTTCTTTTTTTTTTAATCCCAGTTTTTCAGCTGCATACTTTTATTCAACCTTGACTGAGAATTACTAGACCTGGTATTTCAAGTCAAAATTACTAAAACTAATAAATATTCAGTAGTATTAAAAAAGCTAATCCATATTTGGGTTCACAGTTTACTGAAATGAAGATTTATTTCCAGAAGATAATATCACTATGTAACTGTTCAAAATGTGGACATTGCAGCATTAGGAAAATAATTTTCTTACTCATTGCTGAATTTTTGTTAACTATAAAAATGACCATACAAAATGATCACTGAAAGTTTCATGGATAGTGTGAATTTTTGCAACTTCTTTTTCTCATTTGTTGTTAGTTTATTTTAAGTATTATCATTGTTCCATTGTCTGATAAAGCTGAGATGTTTAACTGGCTGTCTCAGCTATGTTTTTATTTTTCAGCTCTGGAAAGTCATTGCACATGACTTTGCAATACAGTTATATTAGAACTTTGGGAGATAAATACCGCTAAAATTAAGTTCTAATGCTTAAGTTTATCTATTATTTTAAAAATGCACCTTTAGCCTATTTTTACTTGCTTTCTTTCTTGGCAATGGGTTTTCATTTCATGTTTTAGGAAACTCCTATAAATGTTATTATGTTAGTACTTCAAAATGGGAAAGAAAGGAAGAAACATGTGAAATACTCTTGTACTCATTTTGTTTGTAATTTTGAATAGCTTTCAAATTAGAATGATTTTTCCAGATTTTTATAGGCTTGCCCAATCCAGCTGTATATTTTATATGCTAATTTAAGTTCTATTTTTGTTCCCCTTGGGATTTTGAGTGATTATAATTGTTGCTCTTCAAAAGCCAAACAGATGATGATTGCCGCTTCAGGAATATACCAAAAGAAACCAGCTTTCATTAAACCTGCTCATCCACTTCATAATTATCTCCATTTTTTCTCACTAAGAAGCAAAAAAAATGGCAACTGCAGTTCACTGAAGCCAGTTCAGTTATTTAAACATCACTTTACTGCGATAACAGGAGGTGTTAAAGCAGAAGGCTTTTCAAACACTAAGATGTAGCCAGTCCTGTAATAGGGGTGCCAACTGGAAGACCAGACCCTTCATGTCAGCTTGGAATACAATGCTAGAGGCCAAAGAAGTTGCTATGAGTTCTGCTCTGCCTGGGACAATTTCTGGAGGACAAAACATAGATTGACAACTGTTTTGCAAGGTATTTTCTTGTCTGTCAGTAAGCAGGAACATGAGAGAGGAAGAAAGGAGGTTGGAACAGGCTCTGACACAGACAGTAATGAAGTTAAAAAGGCAAATGATACAAGCTTTGATCATAGGTTCACTCTTTGTATCTGTCAGCCCTAGTGACGTTTGTGAATGACCTGGGCTAAACCAGAAGGTTTCTCTAGAGTTTGTTTCAGCAGTAAATTTTAGTTTAATTCCATTTTAAAAACATTCATAGAGAGGTTTTGCAGTGAAGATCAGTGCTGGAGAGGAATGAATCCCTGGGAATTGCAACAAGATGCTGTGATATCTGTCATTTCATGAGCACTGTCATAAAGAGGGATGAAAAGACTCAGAGGCTTCTCAAGATCTAGAAATATGTAGACAGTTCTTTAGTTCACACAATTGGTTGAAAACCTCAATATTTATATTTTTGCAGGTATCTTCTGATGTTTTCCTTATCTTAAAAATGTAAGTAGTGTTGCTGGGTTTTTTCCTACCTGCTCTCTGAAGTTTGATTCCTGCAGTTTACAGGAAGAAGTCTGACCATATGTGTTGCCATTTGTCCTCTGCTGCTTTGTTTATGCAGGCAGTCAGTGACAGTGTGTCTGTATAAATCACAGTTTACCACTCAAAGGGGCTGATACAAAAACAGTTCCATCATCAGTTTCTTCTTTAAAGACAGACTGCAGCAGCTGTCTTAAAACATGGATCTTTGATCAAAGACAGCAAGAATCTTTCACAATTCTGATCTCCCACAGGTTACATTTATGCAGAGGAGATGACCAGGAAAAAAAGTACGAATTCAAAAGGGGATTAATTTAGGTTTTTATTTCTTGAGTTTAAAAACCTATATGAGAGCAGAGGTTAAACTAAGCCAGTTGTCAGAAAGTCCTTTTTATCAATTGCGGAGGCAAAACTTCTGTCAATCCATGCCTTTCTACCTTACCCAGAATGTTACAGAGTTTTGGCTATAGTAGCATAATCTGAGAGAAAAATTGCATGGGCTAGAGACTGGAGGGGAAAAAAAAAGCCCTTTCAGATAGAACAGAGGTAACATCCACTGATTGCAGTTTTGTTGGTACAGCATGGGGAATCTTCTAAACTTGTGAAGTTTTCTAAACTCACAATGCCTCGTTAGCATCAGCAGTGTAATCCTCATCTCCTTGAGACCAAAAGGCAGAAGGTACAATCCCAGAGCCCAGGCAGCAGGCTGTTGGGAGCAGAGCTTTCCCTTTCAATCCCAACCAGCTGTGTTCAGTATGGCCAGCAGTTCTGGGGCATTTTCATCTCCATCTAGAGTGTCTTAGAACCAGATCAAGCTTCCCATCTAATCCAGGAGCCACAACAGTGACGTCTGCTCTGGAAGGATCATTGTGCCCCTGTCACATGCATACCCGGAATGGGTTTTATAAAGCTACAAATTCAAACACTGACTGAGTGATAACAGGGGTGCATTTCCTTTTGAAAACTGCTTTCAAATGAAAACATTATTTACTTCCCCCAAAGATTTGATACTGCATCTACATTTGTCTGCATTTCTGTTGTTTAAGGACAAGTTTTGTTTGACCTGAGCTGTTTTCCTCCCTTCCTCACGCTCTGGCAGGAGGATTCCAGATGCTGCAGTGTATTTCTTTGTGCAGGAAAAGGAAATGGGAAGAAGAGAAACAGTGACACTGAGATCAGTCCTATCCATAAGGCAAATAAAGAATAGGTGACTGATCCTAAAGGTAGCTAATGTAGGAGTTTATCAGAACTGACACCTACCTCTCATTGATTATCAAGAAATGTTTCATCATGTCACCACTGCCTAAAAATCAGAGCTCAGCGCAAAATAACACAGTTCAGGAAATCCTGATCTGTGAATCCTGTCTTCATGTTTTGACTGTTTTGCTTTGGTCTTTATCGTCTCTTGCTTAAAATGCATTTATATTAAATAAAACTAAAAGTGTATTTAGGACTTAGTTTTCTAATTGCTGGTAATTCAAATTTGTATTTGCAAAATGTCCTGCACTTAATGAGGAAAGGAACAGGAGGTTGCAGGTTGTAGATTGTAGAGAATATTGCATTAATTCTTTTTATAAATGGTTTATTAAACAAAGCACTACATCTAGATTCTAAATTTATTATCTTTCCTGAGGTAGCTTAATTGCATATCTACTTCCTAAACTGTTCAAGACGCATTTCTGCAGTAGCGGTTTTGCAGTGTAACAATGTGCATTCTGCCATATCACTCTGATCAAACACCAAACTCTTTGCAGACAGTGCATTTTCACAATGGCAAATGATACTTCAGAGTCCTCTTTGCAAGCTGGCCACACTGCCTACTTCTAGCTGCAAAGTGCTCTTATACTTTGCAGCTGAAGAAGTATTTAGGCATCTTTTAATACTTGCTTATGTTTCCTTCTTGTTATGTTACCATTCAGAGTAAGCATTTTTAGCCAAATTAATGTGGAAGGTATTGAACGTGCAAATTAAGCATGAAAGAAAACTGTTCAAAAGCAGAATATTTCATAATTAATTGAAAACTACAATTTTGCATGTTAGGATTACCTCAATAGGATGGAAAACAACCATCTTATTTGTCTTTTTTTAAAAATTGTTTTTCAGGTTTTTGTTTTCTCAGTGGTGGATATTTGATCTTATCCCCACATTGTCTGCTTCTGGTGTGATTTCCTTGTTTAATTTGGAACTAAAATTTGCAAAACTACAAAACATTCTTACAGAAGCAGTAAACACTAATAAATTATCTGTGGTGTTGTAAGAAATTGTGAAGATAGTTACTCAGTACTTAAAGGCTATGAATATAAATTGACTGTGTGTATTATGAAGGAAGGTTTATTATAAAATATGGTATCTTTATTCTCAGGTATTTTTTGCAGAGTTCTGTGAATTAAAAAAAAAAAAAAGAAAAACAAAACAGAGGAAATGAAAGTCTACTCTAAATAATAATATTGAAACCAAAGAAGGAAAGATGAAAAAGCTTAACTGAAAATTAACTTGAAAATTCTTGGCATAATAGGAGTTAAACAATGTAAGACTAGAGTGAATTCTTCTTTCCTCTGTAACCTAAAGGCAGCATAGTAAGAATAAAAGAGATGTTCTATGGTATAATTAATGGAAATAACTGTTGCTACTCTAACAATTTAAAACCAGCTTTATTACATTTTACATTAGAGCAATTTTCTTATGATTACTAAAGCACTTCCTAAAGCAACAATAATATTTCTTTCTCCTATGAAACTGCAGCATTAAGAAGGTGGTACACTTGATGTACATGGCCAGTCCATTTGAGAACAGTTCTTACATACAGTACAAAAATTAACTCAGGCAAAATGATACATGCATAAGATACATGTGTTAAGCAATAGAAATTCTTTGCAGTTAAATAGATGAGAATTGTTCCACGTTTGACTCCACCTGCTATAAAAATTTCCATTTATTTCAGTAAGATTACTGTACCAAGGAGAGCAAACTATATGTTGAAGTTTCCACAGTGTTACAGCTCTACATCACTACCCCTACATCTTATCCAAATGGAAATTAAGAAAGCCATTTTCCACAACAGCAACAAAACTAAAGGCAAAGAAGAACACATTCTGTCCACTCATTTAGTCTATACAAGCATCTTCTGGAGCTGTAACTTGGTTTTTAAAGAAAAATAAAAAACATAAAAATTCTGTATTTAACTTTTCTTTCTGTCCAAAAGCATTTGACTAATCAAGACAGTACTGGCCTATGGCTGAATCAGCACTTTACAATCAGAGCTGGGAGAAGCAACAATTACATAAAGACTAAATCCAGCTCTGTAATTTTTAATAACCTTGTTTCTCCTTGTGTCAATCTTATCAAGAATGAGGAAAGACATAGCCTTGTGGACTGAAAAGAGATGTTAGAGGTGATGTCTCCAAACAGCAGCTGTTCAATTATTCTTAATGTGCTGTGGAGATGCAAGAAGAGCATCCCTGTGGAAGCATTAAGTTCTAGGAGAAAATGCTGGTTTTGGAGAGTGAAAAGGATATGTTCTGAATTCATTTGTTGCTTCCCCACCTCCTTTCCCAAGCTTAAATGGGATAATGGGGTAATTTTTTTTTTTTTTTTTAATTTGCCATATGTCTCCTTATATGTCCAGAGTCTCTGTTTCTTTCTTTCTTGTGTATTAAAAAGGCAGTCTTTCCCAATTTGAATAACTACAGCCTAAAATACTTTCTTGACTCCTTTTCTTATTTTTAATTCCTCTGTTTTCTCTCAATTACTGTTTCTTGTTTTCTGCCCACACCTTCCAGGCACTGGGTGGTACAGCATTGCCACAATTTAACACCAATTTATGGCAAACTAGGTGGTGGTGCTGTAGAACAGGTCTAATGAGAAACCTTTGAATGCTTATGATTTTACTAGCCTTTTTATCCCGTGTTGTGGAAATGGGCTTCACTTACTGTTCTTCAGTAAACCATCTTCATCAAAGCATGCAATTAAATATTGATTTTCTTGAGATATGTATACACTATATATCTTAACATATACTCTATAGAAACTATGGTGATTCTATGCAGGTACAAGCAATAAATAGTTGATCCCTCTGTCTCAGCTGTCTCAGTCTTTCATGGAAAATGCAGTTATTCCAAGCAGAAAAGACTGCAGAATAAGTGACTGTCTGAACATCATATTACACAGTCTATCTGCATGGCCCATGATGCTCATTTGCATAGTAGGCTATAAGGACCTCAAACACCCAGTTAAAATAGAAAAAACCCAAAAATATATTAGCCTGTTTGAGCATGCTAAAGAAACATGGGGATCTGAATACATAAAACAAAGACTGGGAGAACAAATAAGATCCTGTTTGAAGGCAAATAAATGCCACATATCTGACTGTTAGAAAGTGAGAAGATGGATGTAAGTTTCACAATTTGGTTATTTTATTCTGGTTCTGAATATGCTCATTGACAATTACAGGGATGCTTTAAAAGGATTAAGGAGGAACTATAGCAAAAAAATTAAAATACTTGGAGTGCAACTTGATATTTTCCTTTTGTCTTAGTGTAGCAGCTAGGAGCACTGATTATATGCAGGTAGAATACATCTGGTGTAAATCCCGTCCATTTCAAGATTTTCCATGCAGGGGAAAAGATGAAAAAGGAGGAGGATGGAAAGGCTAAGTATGCCTTTTTACAGCATTTTTAATAATTGTGGCTTAATTGCATTTGTTGCTTACATCCTCTTTCATGCAGATTGGAAATGTTGATCTCATATCTTTGGGAAGAGCCGTAGGTTTCCATAATCAAAAAGCAATATCCAGTCATTCTGTAATACTCATTTCCTTTTTTCTTCCTGTCCCAAAAGTAAAAAAAAAAATAAGCAAACAACAACAAAAACCACAAACAAAACCCCAAAAACCTAAAACCAACCGAACAAAAAAGTTAAGTTCCACTTAAAAGTGGTTAAAGGTGAGTTGAAGGAGGCAGGCTCTGCTGGTTTAACACTTAAGTTTTGCAAAGCAAATTTGAGTAGCAAAAACTTCACATCTTCTTGACCCATAACATGACTATTATCACTTTTGTGGTAAATATCACATGATTTACATCAGCTTTTAGTCTCACAATGTGTCTTCCATTTTCTGTAAGGGATGAAGAAAATAACGTAGACATGATAGGGGAAAGATTATGAAAATCATGCTATCATGAAAATACTGTTTCAAACCAGTTCCCATTATTAGGAGCCATTACTAGACCATGAAAATTTAATCCTGGTCCTTAATCACCTTCAGTATTTTGCTATTTGAACATAAAAAGCAGATTCTTCATAGTAGTTTCACATTCTGCAGTTTAAAGGTGAATCTTTAGTATAATTGCTTATGTCTGGTAATGGTGTCTTAAGTGTAGAATTTTTTTCCTTCTTGTCCAGGATGAATTTGGTGGGTGTTTATATATGTGCCTGATGCAGGAGTTTTGTTGGCCAAAGTTATCAATAAGTTACTATTTCACCATTTTAAGTGGCCAAATCGGAATTATGAAAGGATGCATGAAAGAATGCAGATTGTATCTATCTTAATTCTGGATTACCATGTCTCATGTGGACCAAATAAAAGCAAATTGAAAATCAATAGCCAAATGCTGAAAAGCACTTTGAAAATAGAGGTCTGGAAGATCAAAATCAGAATGAAACCAACAATGAGTCCTTGAATTTGTCTGAAAAGATGCTAGAATGCAAATAGCTTTGCTCATCAGACTTGTATTTGCTTGGTTTCAGTGCTCACTGACAGCAGGAGAAAAATGTGTAGAGAACTTTTCTAGTACTTCACAGGTTTTTTTAGCTCGTGGGATCCATTTCTGTCTTGGTGTGGTTTTTTGGTGGTGTTTTCTGGGGTGTTTTTTTCTGTGGTTTTAATGTTTTGGGTGTTTATTGTGATTTTGGTTTTTTTTTTTTCTCAAACATTCAACTGATTTTAAATGACAAAAGGGGAAAAACATTATTTAGAACTGTTGTCATTTTGTTGGTGGGAAATGATACAAAAATCTTATTCTCTGAGGGAAAATAAACTTTATATCTAACTTGAACCTCAGCAACTTGCTTAAGTAATATGATTGAGTACTTTACTATTCTTAAAATACTACTTAAAAGTAATATTCATTACTACTACAGTTGAAAAGTGCCTTGATTTTGGAGGATTCTTTTTATCTAAGAAGCAGAAATAAGACTCATTAGTCTCTCTTTTTCCCAAATCTCTGCCAAAATAATAACAAAAAGAAATATAGCACCTTCATGTCTGTTCTGCAGGGTATATATTTATTGTCTAATGACCAAACACAGAGAAGAACTTTCAGGAGAGATGTATGTCCATGACAACATCAGAATAATTTGCTGTAGTTTTGTGACATATCTTGTTCCACTAAGTCATACGACACAGTGCAGTATGCTACTATTAGTTTGAATAACCTTTTAGATATTTAAAGCTACACAATCATTTATGATTTGGATTTGCTGATGACTCACCTCCAGCAGAATCAAAGTAGTACAGAGCTATGCATACTACTTCTGATGGAAAAACTGAGTTGTATAACAGAAGAAACAAAACCTCCAGCACTTAAAGAGAAGAAAACTAGGCCAGCACCAGTGAAAGACCATTGTGTCATCCACAGTTGAGTAATTCTGATATAAAAAAGAAAAAAAAGTAGTTATTTAGGTATTTATAAGCTTGATAGTTCAAAGGAAGATATTGATGATATACGTAACATAGAGGAAGTCCTTTCTGAAAGTGTGATTTGGTTTTTGTATCAAGTAATTGCAAGAAATAATTGGCAAATTCCACATCTTTTGAATATTAAGCCACTTTATTAAAAAAATTTAGCATGTAACATATAAAGGAAAGTATGAAAAACGGTGTAAAGTTACATGGCAAGCAAGGAGTACACATAAAAAAGAGATAACTGCCTTTAACATATTGCTATGAAAAAAGTATTTTTAATATTCCCTTCTCAAGAGCATGCTGACAGTTGTTCACTCCCCACATCTGAGCAATCATAGCAGGTGTGTCTTATAAAAAGATGAACTTTATTTGGAGAAGGAGGGAAATAAGCTAATTTCACACACTTTCTGAAATCCTGCCCTTATATGTTAGCACAGAACACAGTGTGTACCTTTACTGAATCATTATTGCTAGCTGGAGTCACATTCATTTAATTGAATAAAACAAAAAATTGAAGTTGATACTTAAAATTACATGGAATATATTTAAGTACTTGCCTTACAAGGTCAAAAAAATTCCATCTATTACCTCTGTGATCTGATTATTTGAAAATGATCTAATCAAATATTATACAAACACTTTGGAATTTACAAGGACTTTTTCAGTATATAATGGCAGAAACTTCCACTATATTGCTTCACTGTGCTGTCAGCAGGAAGTATGCTGGCATACTAAAAAAGCTATCTTTGAGTAATACGTGCTTTCCCCCTCAACAAATGAAAACAGACACAGGCTCTTGAAAAAAAGTAAAATCCATCTTTTAAGTCAATATTCCTGTAGCTTTAATACCATGAGAGAATATGCTCATTACAATTACTTTATAAACATATATCTTTTTCTTGGAGAAACTTATTGTTATGGTGGAAGTCTAATCTAACTGAATTGACAGTATTTGGGATGATTGGACAACTTAAAAAGAACTTGTTATTTCGGGATAAAATGCAGCATTAAAAATATTGATTGTATTCTTGCTTTTCATTGTGTCTTTGACACAAGGTTATTTCTCCTCACATTTACACAGTGTTTTGCTGGCAAGGGTATCAATCACTTCAGACTCTGTTTATGTATTCCCCACAAATCAGAAGGCACAAGGGCAAATTGTTATAGTTGAGTTCTCTGGCTTGTGAATTTTATCAAACCAACCTGCCTTCTTGTGAACTCTGAAGTGCATCTCAAAAGCTAAGTGTGTTTTTGATTCAGGGACAGCCACTTGGCAGTAATTTGCCTGTGCTGAAACTGCACAGTGGACCTAAGTTGCTGAACAGGTTTGACCTTATCCACATGTGCCTTATGCTTTCTCACATCAAACGCTTTCTCACATCTCATTACTCACATCATTAGTAAAGCCACCAGATCTTAGGGACCAGCAAAAAGCTGTATCTAACAAAGTGCATGTGCCAAAGATGCATCTCTTCTCCCCTGATTCTGCCTTTTCTCTTGGCTCTGAGAAAGCTTACTCTTTTAATATATGAAATAAATTACTCATCTTCTAGGGTCCTTGTAACTGATAGCTCATGCTATCAGATATGTTTAAGTGACAGGCTAAGGCCAAATACATGTGGTTAGATTATCAGAGGATAGAAGTAGTCTCTCCGCTGTGCCCTCCATTTAACAAGTCTGAGTGGTAAATCTTTAGGTTTCTGTTCAGGTTTGGGTTTCTCGTGGCTTAAGTACCTTCTGTTTCATTAAGGACTGGTTAATCTTGTTTTAATTTCTTATTTGAAGAAGATGGAAAGGTAGCCTTAGTGGCTAAAATTAGGTAACTTAATGGTCTACAAGCCTATACAGTTACTCTGGCTCTTCAAGAAACAATCACAAGGAATTAGGTGCATGCAGCAAACCCTTCTTTGGAAAATAATGCTCTGTGAGCTTATGTTCCAGTTACATGCCTTTTAATTGCATTTTCTACGAAGTTTTTTTCAAAAAAACACAGATCAAAGGTAAACTGAACTCAGCCTAAAGTTAAGTATTTCTGTTGGAAAAAGGTGGAGCTATAATATTTTAATCTGATAATATTTTAATGAAGCTAAAAACACAGTTTGAAACAAGATTATTTTTCTCCTATAGAATATATTAGTGTGTGTACTATGGCTCATAGTTTTTCAAGTGAGTAGTTCCAAAGGTCATTACAGATTCTTTTCACAGCAGCAATTAATTTTTTTTAGCTGTGCTCATAAACACATGTTTGTATTGTCTGCTAGAGAATTGAGCTTGTGTGCTTTCATGTGAGCTTGACTGTTGTGTATTAAAAATCACAGTGCAGTTCCTTCTCCCGCAGAGGAAATGGGGAATTGAAAATAAGCTGCTGCAGTTTCAAAGTGGAAGTGTTTTGTCCTTTGTAAAGAACTTGACAGCCAAATGGATGGTTTGCTCTGGGACTCAAAGATATGTCACAACAGTGGAACAGACAAGGAGCCCCCACCCCAGTTCAGGTACTGCTGGGACAGCAATTTGGGATGGGGACTTTTTAGGGTGTTTTTATTAAAGCAGCATCAAGTACGAGAAACCTATTTCTCTTTGCTGAATAGATCCTGATGACAGTTTACTTCACTGGATTATCAGCAACATGCTGGCTGCTGTGCCACCTGAATTTCAATTTCTTAATTTACAGCACAAATAAAATAGAATAGAGCTCGATCTCTGCTGCTCTTTACACTGGGCTTGTCTTATCAAGCATGAAGTTTGGCGCATTGCAAAGCTATTCAAGTCATTATCTGTTGAGGACCTCTTGAGCCATCTCTATCTCTGCAGTGTGCTGATAAGACAGCTGTTTCTGTAGCTGCAGTGTCTCTCTGGGCCTCGGTCTTCTTTCCGTGCAAACTACAGCTTTGTCACTGTGCCCTGATGCTGTCACTTTCTCTGTTGTGCAGTAATTTGATCCAAGCACAAAAGAGGTTGATGGCAGCAACTGACTGGCAGGTGACACAGTCTTATTTTACAATTAGATGTGCATTTCACACTGCTGGAAATACAAATCCTCAATAAAAGAAACTATCTCAGCTATGGTGCAGCAGCAATCTGCCTTTTCCTGGTCGCAGTAGGAAACAAGTAAATATATAATAGTTTAGATAAACTGACAACTTCTTTCAGGTATTACTTTTTTTTCCAGACAAAGGTTCCACAGTTGTCTGTAGAAAATCTGAGGAGTTGTGGTTACCTTTTGTAGAGATACCTTTTTAGTCTCAATTGAAAAAAAAAAAAAAAAAAGTGAAACATCCCCCTTTGCTTTCCCCTCCTAAATGCTAACCACTTTTTCACAATAGTTTTTATTACAATTCAGACATTGCTGTGTAATAGAACAGAAAATTATATAGTAGCCTCAGTTGCATCATTCATATTGCTGTAGTTTAGCACAGTGTCTGTATCTGATGACCGAAGAGAGGCTCAGAGAAGGAGTAGGTAGAACAATCGCACACCCATACTGAAGGCCATGCATATTTTGTCCCTGGAAGTGTGTGTGTCACGACTTGGTCTGAGACCCTCATGCATGTCACCGTTTGTTTGTGAAAGGAATGGGAACAAACACAGGTTTCCCCTAGGAAAAGAACCCGCAGAGTCCCCGGGGTTCAGTAACACACAGGCACAACATACCCACCCATTCACATGACGGCACCCGAACACCACGAGTCAAGAGCCACTAGTCCGAAGTGCTGGAGAGGGAGTGCCAAGCGCACATGTACTGATATCCCGTACGGACCGAGGCGCTTTCCCAGGGCAGGGAGGGCCCGTTCCCCTTCCCGGGGCGGCCGCCGCTGTCCGTGGTGCTGAGGCGGGGCCGCGCCGTTCGCTGCCCTGCCAGCCGCCCCGTGCGCAGCAGCCGCTGTTTCGCTTGCTTATTTTCTGATTGTTTTCACTTTCATTAAAAAAAAAAAAAAAAAAAAAGAAATTAAAATCCCCCTCTGTGCTAGCCGGTAAACATTTTTCTTCCAGCGCAATTTGCTGCTTTTACTGACATTCCCTGACCACTTATTTCCAGCCAGAGGATTCAACAGGGTTCAGCATGCCTGAACAATCAGCTCTTCTCTCCTCCTACTTCTCTCCTTCCATGTCCAACGCCTATTTAATAATCCATACACGTTGTAGCTAAAGGCTGTGTCCAGACAGCCAGCTACTGCTAATCATAAAGACTTCTTTTCAGACATATTACTTAAGTGAAGGGGAACTTCACAGGAAAGTGTTTTTCCAGAGAGAATGGAAAATTTAGCTTTCCTTCTGACATTGCTGGAACCAAGGCCCTCTGAATACACATCAGAGATGAGAAAGGCCAATGACAAGGCAATTTGCTAAAACAGCTATTTTCTGCCTAATTTCCCTTTAGCACTGTGTATTGACAAACATGACAGATGTGAGTACATTACTGGTAGAGATACTAAGCCTCGAAAGAAAATGTATAAAGTTTGGGTTTTGTCTCGAAAAGCCAGACGCTAATTGTAGCTGGAGGGTTGTTCCTTTTGGGTGGAGAGTGTTGGGGGGAGAAGATGAAATCAGGAGTTCTGAATATCAGACCTGACAAGGAAGCTGCTGAGAGCGGAGTCCTTTAATTTCCTAAAAGTTCAGGAAGACACTCTTCTGGTTTCTAACAGCATACATTTTACATTTTGGCATCCACTTTAAACAGAGTTTCTTTAGTTCTAAAACCAGATATGTATTATACTGTTCTAAAATTGGCGGCGGGGTGGGGGGCGGGGGAGGGAAGGGCCTGACATGTTTGGAGGTATTGAGTGAATGCATCAGACTGCTAAATAATTTTTTAAAATTTTCTTCCTTTCTCTCTTTTTATACATTAACTATGTTCTCTTAAGGAATACTTTTTTTGCTTAAACAGATGAAGCAAAAAAGTAATAAATAACTAAATCTAGTAATTCTGAAGACAGAAACATTGTGCACAGTATTTATAGATGTTTTCTACTTGATAGAACGAACAGTACTTATAGCACTTTATTTTAGAAATATATATATGTAAAAATATATATAAGACTTGCTGATAAATGATTCTATAGAATAAAGAACCGGAGCAGCTTAATTTTGATATCATTAGGAGACTTTCAGAAGCAGTTTGGCTGTTTCAAAGGGTAAAATTTGCCATAATTAGACAAGTCTGAGCCTCAGACATAAGCTGAGAAAGTGCAGACTTTTCTGAACTTTTCTTACTGCAAGGGCATAATTTATATATACATCCACAAACTGGGTGTGAATAGACATCACTTCATGTAGGACCTTTGTATAAACAGCTTTGAGAAAGCAGGCGCCCCCACCCCACTCCTTATTCAGTCCTGAGAGCGAATAGTTTGCTACTTGTTCCACCAGGGAGTTATTCATTTTTTTGGAATGCTGCTGATTTAAAAAGTTGGTGATACATTGTTAATTATCAGATTGTGTGTTCTAGAAAAACACTGGCTTCATTAAGCATAGAACCAATTATGTAAAATGTAAAATCAGTCCCTGTATAACTCTCAGTTGTTGTCATAGTAGTAGGATAGGGAGATCATAAGAAACAGAGAATACACAATTCATTGTATGTCATTTATAAACACACAGGGACACTCTCATTGAAATGCTCCATTTGAAATCTCTATTTGAAATCACATGCCTCTATTTTTGTGCCTTGCTACACGCAAATGCCAGAATAGTCTAAATAAGCATTTGCTTTCTGCAGGGTGTAAGTGCTTTGCTATTGAAAATACATGACACACACTTGTGTTACAGTAGAAAAGCCATGTTTAGAAAGCACTTCTGATTCTGAAAAGAAATGATCAAGTGCAGTGAAGGTCAAACAGTATGAAGAGTAAAAGGCACCCTTCAGAATACCATGCAGGATTGCTTGTTCTGTACACCACCTCTTTTCTTCACAAACATATTTGCACTGCAAGACAGAATTGACTACATCATGAATAAAAGCTCGCGCCTTCCTTCCTTCCTTCCTTCCTTCCTTCCTTCCTTCCTTCCTTCCTTCCTTCCTTCCTTCCTTCCACTTCCTTCC